ACACACACACACACACACACACACACACACACACACACAGCACACACACATTTGTCTTAATTTACTACAACAACCCGTAGTCTGAAGCGCCATAACGAGTATTACAGGCCAATTCACAAACTTATAATAGATTCTATACCCTCTTTAAAAAAGTTATGCATTTGTTCTATTTCGATATATTTATAAAAAGAAGTTGGCATGAATACCCCGGAGCCAGGTGAGTCCGATTCTCCTCCAAAAATAAAGTTTATTTTGTCCCTGATCTCCGTCTTTGTGTTGTGAAACAGCAACCCAAGCTAGGCCCGCGTTGCCCCTTATAGATCGACAGGCTGGATATCGATCGAAGCAGCCGTCACCAAAAGAATCTGCATTCAATTGAGTTGCATCAAACATTCACAGCCACTCCCCCCCCCCTCTCTCTCTCTCTCTCCTCTCTCTCTCTTTCTCTCTCTTTCTCTCTCTGATCTCTCTCTCTCTCTCTCTCTCTCTCTCTCTCTCTCTCTCTCTCTCTCTCTCTCTCTCTCTCTCTCTCTCTACCTCTGTCTGTCGGTCTCTCTGTCTGTCTAAGGGCTAATAAATAAATTATAGAAACACTCGACTAGATCATCCGAGATAGTAGAGCCTAGCATTGTAACCAATGTAAACTACCGCTAGCTCGGTGAGTTACGCGCCGATTCAAGAATGGGAGGGGCTCCTCTCGGTTTACTTTACTTTACTTTATCCGTCCTCTTAATATTGTACCTCTAGGGCGTCAAGAGTAGTGATGGGCAGGTATCGATACTAGGTACTCGATACTTTGATACCTACAGATATCGGTATCGGTACCGATACCTGCTCTTAACATCGATACCTATGTGTTATTTATCCCAGGGCTGCCAAAGCAAGAGACTTGGGCTTTGAGAATTTTTTGTTTAACAAAACTGATAAGTTTTCGTAGGGGGCAAGCGTTTTAAATTAATCTAGTGATTTTTTAACAAAAAAAGAGAAGTTTTTCATGAAATGTATCTAGTGATTTTGCAAAATCTTCACTGACAACCCTAATTTATCCTCATTGGTTTAATTTAAAGTTGCTAAAAATCTGGTAAATTGAATTGCCTTATTAGAACTCTTGTGTTTTTATTTTCCAATACAAACATTTTTTGCAAAGTTGACTTTCCTCCCATACTTTACTTAATGTTTGTTTTTATTCTCATATTTGGGTATTTATTTCTCTCTCTCTCTCTCTCTCTCTCTCTCTCTATTACAAATAATTATTGTTTGAGTCTCAGCTAAATAGTCACAACTTGTCTAGACACGATTACCTAAATACTTGGAAAAGTATAGTTGTATTTTTGTCTTTTTTTTTATTACCCCCGGCGTATGTTACCAATGATAGTACATAACAAGATGGGCCACTCAGCCAAAAAAGTGTCCGCAGGAAGTATGCTCTTTGCTTCAGATGGCGCTGCAGTCTGTTTTGAAGCTCTCTTTCGTTTTTCCAGAAGAAGAATAGGAATAGCACCTCCTTGCGTGCGCAGATCACAGAATTCTACACTTAAGTGTAGAATTCTGTGGCGCAGATCGACTGCTGTTCATCAGCAGTTCGGGTACGTTCAGTGCGTAGTTTTAGGTTTTTTAAAATTTTAATGACCTCTCGCCTTTCATTCTAAAGTCAAATTAAACGAAGAAAACCATAACCCTTTCCTCCGGAAGAGGTTTTTTGTCAGCGTAACCATTTAAAAAAAGCGTTCTTCCGAAATTTATTCCAAAACATGCTAGTTTCACTTTGATTTTTAAAAACTCAAGTAGGGTAACTCTGTTCGCAAAGAGTGCGCTTTTGTGAAGAGGGCGCCACCAAATTTTGAGGACACTTTTTTAATTGGCTCAAAGAGAGAAGTGGCCCATCTTGTTATGTACTATCATTGATGTTACCAATAGCATTAGGTATCGAGGTATCGGTATCGATACCTTGAAAAAGTACTAGGTATCGACATCGATACCTAAATTGTGGTATCGGCCCATCACTAGTCAAGAGGAGAAAGACAGAGCTTCCTGTCTCTAGCAAGTTTGATGGCCTGGCTGGGTGGGATCCAGGTCTTTCTTGGACTTTCTCTTGCCTTGTACCATTTTTCTTTCAGTAGGCTTTACTGGCAAGCTGGTTAGGTGCCACTTTCAGTAGGCTTTACTGGCAAGCTGGTTAGGTGCCATACGTGCATAGATGTACACAGTAACTGTCCAAACCACCTGCTCTTGGCACATTATGGTGTAAAGAAGGATGGTCCCGTCTTGTTAAGTCGGATCTTGGGTGTAGTGTCAAAGATTCTTTTACTATCTTTGCCTACCCATCCTACCAAATATCGCACCTACGATCTATGCTATAGCCTACAGTGCAGTTTAGGACAAGCGCATTCTCGGCGTGGTTTGTCCAACCACTCGCTCCTGATCGATACTGAATGAAAAAAGGGATGAGTAGATTTATTGCTTAAAATAGACCC